ACACACAGTAACACACACACACACACAGTAACACACACACACAGTAACACACACACACACACACAGTAACAGACACATTCACAATCACACAAGGGGGGGTGAGCCCAGGGGGGGGTTGAGCCCGGGGGGTGAGCCCGGGGGGGTGAGCCCGGGGGGGGGTGAGCCCAGGGGGGGGGGGGTGAGCCCGGGGGGGGGGGGTGAGCCCGGGGGGGGGGGGGGGTGAGCCCGGGGGGGGGGGGGGGTGAGCCCGGGGGGGGGTGAGCCCGGGGGGGGGGGGGTGAGCCCAGGGGGGGTGAGCTGGAGTCGGGCACTGTTGGGTTAAACATTCCCCGCAATGCAACGTAATTGTCTTATCAAACCCAAACCCTATCCGCCCGGAGCTCTCCATCCGCACAGTGTCTCACCATCCGCACTGTGTCAGTGTTAATTGGAAGTGTGTTGGGGGGGAATTGCCCCCAATGTTATCTGGAAGCGATGCCAAAGTTGACCACCAAGTCATTGGCATCAAATGCTTAACTTCCACTCAGTACAGTTCAGAGTTTGTAAACCAATTCCTATTGCAATTCAATTAATATTGTTTATTTATTACTAAAATAAAACTAAATCACATCTCTCTCTCACACACACAGACACACACACACAGACACACACACAGACACACACACACACACACACAGACACACACACACAGACACACACAGACACAGACACACACACACAGATACACACAGATACACACAGACACACACACACAGACACACACAGACACACAGACACAGACACACACACACAGACACACACACACAGACATAGACACACACAGACATACACACAGACACAGACACACACACACAGACACACACACACACACAGACACACACACATACACAGACACACAGACACACACACGTACCGGTAGCACATAATGTGCGATGAGAACGCATAGAGCGAGAAATAAGGTCAGAGAGAGAGAGAGAGAGGGAGAGGGGAGTGTTGGGGAAGGATTTTGACAAAGACAGATTCAGTCCTATGTATTCCCCGAAAAACAGACCGTGTCCTCAGGACTCGCGCTGTTCGGGTCGGGACACCGACACAAGTCACAGCCAAAAACTTCCTGAAATGCAGCTGTTTTCAGGAGCAGTGACTGACAGTGAGTGGGAGAGTGGACACAGAGGTTCCCAGAGACTCAATAGCTTATTTTCCCCAATAAAATAAACACGAAGCACCTGTGTGTCTGTGTGTGTGTGTGTGTCTGTGTGTGTGTCTGTGTGTGTGTGTGTCTGTGTGTGTCTGTGTGTGTCTGTGTGTGTGTGTCTGTGTGTGTGTGTCTGTGTGTGTGTGTGTGTGTGTGTCTGTGTGTGTGTGTCTGTGTGTGTGTGTCTGTCGGTGTGTGTGTGTCTGTGTCTGTGTGTGTGTCTGTGTGTGTGTCTGTGTGTGTGTCTGTGTCTGTGTGTGTGTCTGTGTGTGTGTGTGTCTGTGTGTGTGTGTGTCTGTGTGTATGTGTCTGTCTGTGTGTGTGTGTGTGTCTGTGTGTGTGTGTGTGTCTGTCTGTGTGTGTGTGTTTGTGTCTGTGTGTGTGTGTCTGTGTGTCTGTGTGTGTGTGTCTGTGTGTCTGTGTGTGTGTGTCTGTGTGTGTCTGTGTGTGTGTGTCTGTGTGTCTGTGTCTGTGTGTCTGTGTCTGTGTGTGTCTGTCTGTGTGTGTCTGTCTGTGTGTGTCTGTGTGTGGTCACTGCACATGGGAGTGTTAAGAGAATAAAGTTGTCCATCCTCAGGGTCGCAAGGAGTGTGTGTGTGAGAGTGAGTGTGTGTGTGAGGGTGAGTGAGTGAGTGAGTGTGTGAGTGAGTGTGAGTGAGTGAGTGAGTGAGTGGTTCAGTTGTGGGAACCTTCACTGTTTCACTGGGGGAACCTGAGCCAAACATTAATATAGGAACTTGAGGGTTTGGGGGGACAATTTCGGGCTTTAAATACACCCACACACACAGTCACACACACACCCACACACACAGTCACACACACACCCACACACACAGTCACACACACACCCACACACACAGTCACACACACACCCACACACACACCCACACACACAGTCACACACACACCCACACACACAGTCACACACACACCCACACACACAGTCACACACACACCCACACACACACCCACACACACACCCACACACACAGTCACACACACACCCACACACACAGTCACACACACACCCACACACACACCCACACACACACCCACACACACAGTCACACACACACCCACACACACAGTCACACACACACCCACACACACAGTCACACACACACCCACACACACACCCACACACACACACCCACACACACAGTCACACACACAGTCACACACACACCCACACACACACCCACACACACACCCACACGCACAGTCACACAGTCACACACACACCCACACACACAGTCACACACACACCCACACACACAGTCACACACACACCCACACACACACCCACACACACACCCACACACACACCCACACACACACCCACACACACACAGTCACACACACACCCACACACACAGTCACACACACAGTCACACACACACCCACACACACAGTCACACACACACCCACACACACAGTCACACACACACACACACAGTCACACACACACACACACACACAGTCACACACACACCCCCACACACACACACACACACACCCACACACACACCCACACACACAGTCACACACACACCCACACACACACAGTCACACACACACCCACACACACAGTCACACACACAGTCACACACACAGTCACACACACACCCACACACACACACCCACACACACAGTCACACACACACCCACACACACAGTCACACACACACACACACACACACAGTTACACACACACCCACACACACAGTCACACACACACCCACACACACAGTCACACACACACCCACACACACAGTCACACACACACCCACACACACAGTCACACACACACCCACACACACAGTCACACACACACCCACACACACAGTCACACACACACCCACACACACAGTCACACACACACCCACACACACAGTCACACACACAGTCACACACACACCCACACACACACCCACAGACACAGTCACACACACACCCACACACACAGTCACACACACACCCACACACACAGTCACACACAAACAGTCACACACACACACACACACAGATGCAGTCACACACACACCCACACACAGAGACACAGTCACACACACACCCACACACACAGTCACACACACACCCACACACAGAGACACAGTCACACACACACCCACACATGTATATATATGTACACACGCACCTATATATTAGCTCTATATCTGTCTATATATATTTGTGTATAAATCACTATCCACTGGCGATAAAGACGAGACATCCCCTCTCGGTCACTCTGATCCCACATTGCGTTCGGATCAAATCATTTCGGGGTTCAGAGAAGACACAAATTGCTGCGTTGCTACAGCAACCACTTACCCCCCAAAATACCATCATCATCATCATCATCACCAAGAAAAAAATACCCTCAACCGACCACCAGCACCAGCACCAGCACCCCAGCTCCACCAGCACCCCCAGCACCCCCAGCACCCCAGCACCCCCAGCACCCCAGCACCCCCAGCACCCCAGCACCCCCAGCACCCCAGCACCCCCAGCACCCCAGCACCCCCAGCACCCCCAGCTCCCCCAGCACCCCCAGCACCCCACTACCCCAGCACCCCAGCACCCCACTACCCCAGCACCCCAGCACCCCAGCACCCCAGCACCCCAGCACCCCACTACCCCAGCACCCCACTACCCCAGCACCCCAGCACCCCAGCACCAGCACCCCAGCTCCACCAGCACCAGCACCCCAGCTCCACCAGCACCAGCACCCCAGCTCCCCCAGCACCCCCAGCTCCCCCAGCTCCACCAGCACCCCAGCACCCCGCTCCCCCAGCACCCCACTACCCCAGCACCCCAGCACCCCAGCACCCCTTGCACCCCAGCACCACCAGCACCCCAGCACCCCCAGCTCCCCCAGCACCCCCAGCACCCCAGCTCCCCCAGCACCCCAGCTCCCCCAGCTCCCCCAGCACCTCCCCAGCACCCCCGCTCCCCCAGCTCCCCCAGCTCCCCCAGCACCCCCAGCACCCCCAGCACCACCAGCACCACCAGCACCCCAGCACCCCAGCACCCCAGCACCACCAGCACGACCAGCACGACCAGCACCCCAGCACCCCCAGCACCCCCAGCACCCCCAACACCCCCAGCACCCCCAGAACCCCAGCACCCCCAGCACCCCTAGCACCCCTAGCACCACCAGCACGACCAGCACCCCAGCACCCTAGCACCCCCAGCACCCCCAGCACCCCCAGAACCACAGCACCCCCAGCACCCCCAGCACCCCCGCACCCCAGCACCCCCAGCACCCCCAGCACCCCAGCACCCCCAGCACCCCAGCACCCCCAGCACCCCAGCACCCCAGCACCCCCAGCTCCCCCAGCTCCCCAGCACCCCCAGCACCCCCAGCACCCCCAGCACCCCAGCACCCCCAGCACCCCCAGCACCCCCAGCACCCCAGCACCCCAGCACCCCCAGCACCCCAGCACCCCAGCACCCCCAGCACCCCCAGCACCCCAGCACCACCAGCACCCCAGCCCCCCAGCACCCCCAGCACCCCCAGCCCCCCAGCACCCCAGCACCCCTAGCACCCTAGCACCCCAGCACCCCCAGCACCCCAGCACCCCCAGCCTGTGCCAACCAACCTGGGATCATTATCAGATAATACGTGAATACATTGGAGAGAGAGAGAGGGGGAGTGGGGGGGAATGGGGGAGGGAGGTGGGGAGGGGGGGTGGGGAGGGGGGGAGGGGGGGTGGGGAGGGGGGGGGAAGGGGGGGATCAAGAAATGCACAGAATATTCGGGATAGACCGTCTCGAAATGAATCAGGTTCTCGTGGGAACTTACCCCCGACTGAAGCGATGGCAGTCAGACACAGACACAGGTACAGGGAGAGCGGGAACCGGCTCATCCCGACAGTAATCCCGAACACACCCGCACTGCCCGCCCGGCAGCCCGGACACCGGCACCACCTGCACCCCGGAGAGGGACCAAACATCCTGGGAGCCCGAGGGGGCCACCACTCCGCACAGGGATGGCTCACTCACTCACTCACTCACTCACTGACTGATGCTCACGTCCTTTCAAAGCCTTTTTCTTTTTCCTCTGCTCTCCTCCAAGGGGTGTTGTGCAGTTCCCACACACACACACACAGCCCCACACACAGCCCCTCACACAGCCCCACACACAGCCCCACACAGCCCCACACACAGCCCCACACACAGCCCCTCACAGCCCCACACACAGCCCCTCACACAGCCCCTCACACAGCCCCTCACACAGCCCCACACACAGCCCCACACACAGCCCCTCACACAGCCCCACACACAGCCCCCACAGCCCCACACACAGCCCCTCACAGCCCCCACAGCCCCTCACAGCCCCTCACACAGCCCCTCACACAGCCCCTCACAGCCCTCACAGCCCCACACACAGCCCCTCACACAGCCCCACACACAGCCCCACACACAGCCCCACACACAGCCCCAGACACAGCCCCCACAGCCCCTCACACAGCCCCACACACAGCCCCTCACACAGCCCCTCACACAGCCCCTCACAGCCCCCCCCAGCCCCCCAGCCCCCGCCCGGTGCTGTGCTGTGCTGTGCTGTGCTGAGCCCTGGTGCGGGACCAGCCTGTGCTGTGCTGTGCCTGTGCTCAGGTTCTGGCTGTTTCACGGATGGAATGAACCATCTCAGGCAAAGGGTTTGGGGCTGTTCCACCTTCACACTCATTCCGCCTTCGCAGCGCATCACATTATTTTTTCGGCGACACCGGATTTTAGGCGATTGATTGAATCCCACAACTGATCACACACTCCCCCCACCTGCAAGGTTTAACCCCCTCCCCCCCCCAAATAAAATACAGACACACACTAAGCAAAATAGGAATAGTGCAATCTTCCCGTAGGACTGAAATAACATGTAGTTACTGTCCCTAATAATAATAATAATAATCGTTGCATTTGATACAGCGCTTATCATCTCTTCGAGACGGCTCAAAGCTCTTCACAGGATACACTGTCAAGTGAATTGACTGTATGTTTTGTGGGCGAAAAGTGACAACCAATTGCACACGGCAGCGTCCCCCACAAACAGTCGTGGATTGAAATGACCAAATTATTATTTAATTTCTTTTAAGGGATTATTACTCCCGGAAAAGCGATCCCCCAATCACCTATCAAGTGGGTTTCCACTTATTGCTGAGTAAACAGAGGCGTGTGGAGTAAGGAAACTTGCCTAACTTTTCGCCCTGCCCAGGAATCGAACCAAGGTCCTTTCGCTTTTGTCAGGCGAGTGCTCTACAACACAAAAAATAACTCGCAAATGACACCAGACTTGTTACAGGAAAACCATTGCAATGTAAAACGGTGTTTTTCTTCGGGGTGGGAGGGGTTTGTGATGGTGTAAGAGAAACATAAGCCCAACTCCCATTATTTTGGGGTCTTCATTGGGTTCCTGTCTAATCACTCCGCAGACAGCACTGTTTGATTCAACGTTCAGAATGAGCATCAATAGAGACGGATTCAGGAATCAGACCAACAACACAATGAAAGCCATTTCACTATTTTTTTAAAAAAACGTGATTTCTCTAAAATGTAAAGATACAGAAGGTACACCAGATAGTTAGAAAGAGTGATAGGATACAGAAGCAGCCCTCAACAGTGCAAAACAAAGCATCTATGCTATTTATACAAATATTCCAGTGCCATTTTATCTTTAGCTTGTATCCCAATGCACTTGCATCAGCTATGTTTTGTTTTAATTATGTGTTTCAAACACCAGACCCTGGCAAGTGTGATGCATGACCACTGCTTGTAGTTGCTAATAGCTTCCTTAACTGATCAGATACTTTACCCTGAGGCATTCCATCCACATCTTCCTATTGGAAATAACCAGTCAAGAGTTAATTACAGAGCAAGGAGCCATTTGCCATCCATTGTTCTATATTTAACATCAAACCACATCTTAGATCCAATAAATCTCATTAAGCTGCCTGCAAAACTAAAAATACTTTACCTGCTTAGCTGCAGGTAGTGACTTTTCTGTACTTTAGCTCAGCTACAAACAAAAGCAGTCTGCAAGCAAACTCAGTCCAGTCAATTCACTTTACAGTATATTCTGTGAAGTGCTTTGAGATCTTGAAGTTGTGATAAGGCTCTATCTCAAATGCAAGGATTATTATTACTATCTGAATTGGGTACAAATAAAACATCCTGTAAATATAGTTGTTATTTAACCATTTCCTCCAAATGCCATGCCAGAAAACTTCCCCTGGTTATATAGTGCTTAGCGGTTTGAGAATAGTGCAATCTTAGATTTACACAGTGATTGTCCAGGTGTTAGCCTCGCTGAGTTGAGAGTGCTTTGCCTTGAATCAGAAGGTTGTGCGTCCAAGCCCCCCATTTTGGAAACAGCTCCAACATGGTTCCTATTACAGTTGAATAGGAAAGGCAATTTGGGGAAACAGAAGTAATAATAAATGAGGAAACTACCTCTCCAGCTGACTGTGGAAATTGAATTAAAAATTAAGTTTCAATATTTAGTGCAACTTTTTTCCAATGGCATCAACGTCACTATTGAAATTGAAGACGTTTCATCAGTATAAATCTCCCTTTAAAAATACACTAGTTTTTGCAATTTGTGTGCAGCCAGTCTACAATAATAATAATAATTGCATTTGACATAGCACTTTATCACATCATCAAGACATCTCAAAGCTTCACAGAATATACTTTAATGTGAATTGACTATATTTTGTGGGTGAAACGCGACAGCCAATTATGCACAGCAGTGTCCCACAAACAATCTTGGATTGAGTGACCAAATTATTATTATTATTTTTATTCTAGATGATGAGTCACACAAAACCTTGAAAGCAAACAACAATATCAAATGACAATTACAAGGAACATGACCTAATTCTACAATTTATAAATAAAAATGGGTGAATACATTTGGAAATGGTGATTAATGGTTAATGAAACGAGATATCCTACACCACCAACATCAAATTCAAGCAGTGGTTTAACCCACCCACTGCATCATGACAAATTATACATTAGCCCCAAATATCGTGAATCATGGAGAAGCACGTTATTCCAACAGAATTCCCATTCCTCATCATTATCCATCGATTATGGCACTAAGTCTGCCCACGTGGCTGCCAGTGGAGGATAGAATCAGATTGGGCTGTGCTTGGCAACACTCACCCGCCAGTTGAACAGCTTTGCGGCACTCTGTGCTTAGGTTCCATTTGAAGAATGATGAGACTAATTTTTAACAAAGTACCATTGGGTTTAAACACCACAGAACCATCTCCACCACCCTCGGGGGGAAACGTTAAGAAAATTGGTCCTTTTTTGTCCTAAAAGAAAATCCACATTTTAGATAAAATGAGAATTTTTGGACAAAAAGGTGAAGACTATAACTCGAAGTTCAGGATAACTTCTAACACGTTGTCCTAATGTGTTTACTTACTACATCACATGGATTCTTAGGTCAGACTATACACTCGTTCACAAAAATCCATTACTTTGGATGCTTTATACTTGGAATGAAATTGAGACTTTGAAAATTCTATTCAGTTTAACATTTTAATCATTGAACCTCACACTTGATACCGTGCCTTAACATGTTGCTGGAATGTCTCAAAGCTCTTCCCAGGATTTACTATAAAGTGTAGTGACTGCATGTTTTGTAGGTGAGCACAGCAGCCAATTTCCACACTGCAAATGACCCACAAACAGTCATGAAGTGAATGACCAATTTCATCTAGGTGAGGATGACCAGTCACTTTGTTTCCTACACTGTGCTAAAGAGTATCCAAAGCAGATGAAGTTCTACATATGTATGCCAGCTACACATGGAAATGGCAGCCATGGGATATTTAATAGCGATCAAAATGAATCTAGGATTAGCACATTTAAATACAGCACGTTTAGTTGTACAATAAAACTTTAGAATAAAAGACAGGGTGTCACATCGGTTAATATAATTCATGGCAAACAAGTTTAAGGATGGAGATAATGGAGCAGATAATGTTCACTCTGAAAAATGGGCTCATCAAACCCAGGCTGGAGGAAAATGGCAAAGTTCAGTTACAACATCTCGCCTCTCACAAGGCTGGGAGGCGGCTGTTTTAGGAAATATTGCAGGCCATCAGAGAGGGATAGTTTGCTGTAAGTTTCTGCTGCAGGTCCTGCTAGCTCACACCACTTGGCCTGAATGAGAGGAGCTGACAGCCTAAGGCAATTTATGTCCCAGCTCGTTGCTATCCAGTCCCCAGAGAGACAGCCTGAATTCATGTAGCCTTTCAATCGTCCTGTTGTCTATCTAGCGTGGGGTGAGTCAGCAGCCGATGGAAACCGCAACATGAGAGAACTGCTTTATTCTTATTGTAGTATCTCCACAACCTCATGTGAGGGCAGATCACACTGCTCATTCTTATTGCACTGCTTTATTTCTTATTTCGGTTCAATTCTCTCCACCCCCCATCCCCCAGCCCCCCTCCCCCCACACAACACACCATTCCACTTTCAATCACATTACAATCTTGCTGTATTGTGGTTTTAGTAAAGATCCCACTACTTTAAATTTTCCATTTCAAATAGAAATTATTCCCATCTCTCTCCGGATCTGCCCAGTTTCACTGCTGTCGATGTTGTTTGTATAATTTCCTTGCTTGATCACTCTTGAATGTCATTCTTTACCCAACTGTCCCCTCCTCAGACACTTGCCTCCAACTCGCTCTGAGACTCTTTGATCCATCACTCAAACGGATTGGTCAGCCTTCGTTTAATTTCTGACATGCACACAACTGACGGAGCAGCCTGTCTGCACATCATTATGTTTACGAGTGAAACTGTTTTAATATTTTTTGCACAACACACTGTGTAAAAGAGAGAGAGAAAGAAAAGTGTGAGAAATTACAGTCCACTGAATCCTGGAGTAACTTTGCCACCTACAGACCAAAGATCTGCATTGCATCTTATGCCCCAAAATTGTGATCTCTTAAATGTTGGTCATTCACAACTGGTTGAATTAACAATTAGCTGCAGCCTTTTGGGACAAAAAACTCTCGCCCAACACTTTTAGTACTAAAATATTAATGTGAATCATGCAGAATTTCAAGTTAAATCAAATTCTGGCATTTCTACAACATTGATTGCAAGTGTGCATACGC